TGGGATGATGGTCACCGATGGTTAGAGACACTGAGTGATATGGCTGGGTGTCGCAAACAGTGGCGCTCGTGCATCCACTCGTTATTTTCCTAACACACTCTGTATGTATTGCCCATCTCACTTTATATGTATTCCCCATCTTCCGCTTGAATTTGCTTCGACATTCCAATCTCCATTTCGCTATCTTATCCAAATGGACAACCAAAAGACAGCAACCAAAACCGGCGCACGAAAGTGCATGGTTAATGGTTGTAAAACTGAACTGAACTGAATATGTTGTGCAGTAGGGTAGTAATAGAGGTTACGAGGTTATCACCTCCCATGTTGAAAAGAGTGATAGGGAGCTCATCAGGTCCCGCTGCCTTTCCTCGCTTCAGAGCTTGAATGCAAGACCGAACTTCTGCTTCCGTTGGAGGATCGCATGACACTGCCCACGGAGCTTCAGTCGGAGATGAAGCGGCCTGGTTAGCACTAGGCCAGCTGAACTGTTCGCTGAAGTATTCTGCCCAGTGATCGAGTCGTTGATCCCTATTGTGAATGTCTCGTCCCCTCTTATCGCAGACTGTTTCACTAGCTGGGGTTCGCCGACCTCCCGTATTGCGTATCAGTCGGAGCAGTCTTTGACTATTCTCTGATGCAGTTACTACTTCCATTTCACTAGCTATCGTTGCGCAGCAGTTCTCACGGTCTTTCTTGAGGCTCTTCTTCAGTTGATGTTGTAGATGCCACCTAACTCTATTTTGACCCTGACAGGTTGAGATTTGTCTTTTTTCTCCATCAAAACTACTGACTCGTGAGATATCCAATGCATCCGACGGGTTTGAGGCTCAGACCCACAAGCAACATTTGCTGCGGAATGCATTGCTCGCCTAATCTGATCCCACTGCTCATCTACATCAGCACGCTGCGGCGCACTTGGCTTTCGCTCTGACTCTGACTCACAGAGTGCAGGAACTGCTGGAGCGGGTAGTCATTAATGAGGTATCCGAGTTTGCTGGTTTTGTCGCTGACCAGTCAGTCGGAGAGTGAAGTGCATCAGAACTAATGCGTGGTCAGACTCAACGCGGGTGGTCCAATAGGATCTGCAATTTTGCATTGAGCCACGCCAACGGTAACGGACTGCTGTGTGGTCGGTTTGAGTTAGCGCACCAGTTGTACTGGAGCGCCACGTTGCCGTCCGTCGAGGTCTATGTCGGAAGTTGGTGCTTGATAGGAACAGATGATGGTCTGCGCAGAACTGAATAAGTCGATCGCCGTAATCTGTTCGTTTGCAGAGCAGAGCACAACTACCGCCTAGGTTTATTTTGTGAGCTTATGAAATTCTGCAAAGCTGTGTTAGATTAGTGGCATTTTGGGTACAACTATTTTCACTTTCCCCAATAGTGTTCTCTTATCCGTCCGTTTTGTGATTAGTTCTGGTTACAAACAAATAACTAACTAAAATTTGCTGTCTTTGAAGTCCAGTTCAGTCTTACGTTTGTTTTGCTCATTCTGCGCACCGTCCTCCCCCGTTGCTATAACCTTTTGAATGTCGAAAGGCTATTTGTTCTATCACTTTCAGTCAGAAAAACCGTTCGACTTGATTGCGGTTCTCCGAGCTGGACATTATCACCGCATTTCTTCTGCTGCTTACACTCGCGACAGTAGCATGCTTATAACGGCTTCATATGATTCGAGTTGTGTTGTTTGGTGCGTCCCGGAATACAATCCCCTGTACCATTACTGGTAAGTACTCCGCAAACTAGCTTTTGATTTGTTCCTTTTGAGAATCTGGTTTCGGGTCTGTGGAATAATCCTTGTCAAAAATGCAATAGGGCGTTCTTTGTCCATTTCATTCTCCGCTTTGCGGTCACTACTCGCTCGAATTCGGAGAATAAACAACTGGACTAACTGTCTTGACTTGTGCTGCTTAGCTTTACGATTTTTCCTCTTTCCCTTTCAGGCGATTGTCTCCTATGCAAAATTAAATGAACTTCATGAATCAATCATGCTTTCTGGTGCACAAAAAAACAATGTTACGATTCATTTTCTAACGGTGCACTCCCGCGGGACCAATCGTCTCACATAGCACCCTATTCACTGAGGGTAATGTTTCCTCACCGAAGTGGCTAAATGAAAACCCTAAATCTAGGGTTGTAACCGGGTTCGTGAATCACTGGTATCCCATCTAGGAGAGTTGGCTAATAACCCTGGTTTCAAATCAACCAAGGGCATGCAAAGCACACCTTTCTGCTTGTTACCGTGGTCATCGGCTTGATAAGGGCGTTTGACCTCGTCTGAAGAGAATATGATCCGATTGTTGTGAGATCCCATTCGCATTTGTGACTAGTGTCTTTGGTGCGCACAGAAAGAAGAAACGCGTGCATGTGGAAGTGGATTAAAGGATTGATTATTGTGACTACAGAAGAGACAAAGAGACTGTTGAGCGGATGACCTCTAATGAAGAAACCTTGATGGAAATACTAACCAACCGTTGCAGACTATATGTTTCGCTCTGTATGATCCTATTTATCCTTATCTATGCTGTTTCAATAATCAACTTTTCTCAGTCTTGCACTGTGTTTCGGAATTGTAACACGATGAAGTGGACAGCGGCTCCAACCGCCGCGCTGTCTTGCGGATCAGATTTTGGCTTGCCGAAATCTCTGATTGTGTATCCCTAAAGAAAATTAATCTGCTCTAACCTGGGGAACCTAGCAGTATCCCGCTTACTAGCAAATCACGAATCAATTTCTTGATTGTTTCACCGTTTATTTTTGCCTAGCTAGCGTGAAATGTATCAAGAAGAGTGCTCATTGAATTGTTTCCAATTTCTTTGATTGATTCCAGATACATCCATTCGAACATTGACACCCATAGACGTGATGCATTCTAAAGATCACTCTTTTCTGCTAGCTAGTTTAAAACATTGCTGTTTTTCATGTTATTCCATCCGGTTTGTTTTCGGTTCCGTCTGATTTATTTTTCATACAGATAAAATCCGGTGCAATACCTTCGAAGATTTTATGCTTTCAGATGTGTTGTAGAATATTTCCATTCTTAACGTTTCGTTTCCTTGCTATCGTGTTCCTATTAGTTTTACACCCTCGTGAAACATGGAGTTGGTGATGCAGTTTCTCCGAACATATGTTTATGGTGGTGTTGTTCCCCGTAATATATTCATATTTCATATTTTCACTCACGTGTGAATCCAGACTGTGCCAAACAAATCATGGTACAATAATCTATATAAAAAGAAAAACATTCCATGATTTGTATGTGAGCGGAATACTGTCAAGGCAGGTGAATTTTCTTCGTCAATCCACAACCGGAGTCTTCGGCTAGTCAAAGCCTGAACCACAAGGCAGCGGGACGGTGTGTGAAAACAACAGTCCATTGGGAGCCGTTGTCCAGTTCATCGGGCTATACGCTCTTTGGATGAGTTCAAACGTCCCAGGTGCCAATTCACCTCGATGCCGAATCGAGCCGGTGACCACTACCGTAGCCGGAAAGGTATGGGTGTGGTTCGTACGTCTCCTCTTGGTTGGTTTGGAGTCACGGTTTTTGGCCAACTCCCCTAGGTGAAGTACCAGTGGTCCACCAACCCGGATATCGACTTTTCGTCCTCTCATTTTGGTGAGAAAAGACCTCCGCCACGAGAAGGCAGCGAGTGAGGCTTCCTCAGCAGAAGCTATTTGAGGCGCTTGGTCGTATGGGAGCATTTTGCGAGGTGCAAGGGAGAGATGACCGGCCGCAACCCCGGCCATACTGAGGATTTCGGAGGCTGTTCCCCATAAAAATTGATTCGAACAATTTTGATTCAAAGTTTGCGTGCGCAATTCTCGTGTCTTGTCCGTTACCTCCGGAAGCGTAAATACGCACAGATACGAAAATGTGTTCACATCCCCTACATGCACGAATCAGAAGAGGAATCTGAATTTCGATGCGAGTGAATAAAATAGGCTCGATAAAATTCCAGAACTAGTTGTATGCTCCTATTTTACAAAGCCGTACTCAAACATGATGGACAGTGCTTACTGGACGACACGGCGCTCGATGGTTAAACACTGTGAGGGTTATTTTGAATCAACTGACCGTATACTCTCGTTTCTGTTAGTCATTTGACAAATGGTTTACTTTTATGATCACCCGGGTCGTTTTTTCTTCTTTGCACTCTCTGTTCACGTTAGGCATATGGGCCGTGTACCAAGCCTACTACTTCTTGGTGGGGCAAATAACCATCACTTGTACGGAGTGGCTGTGGCACCAGACAGTTTACATTTCTGCACAATCTGTGAGGACCGGTACGTAAATCTCTGTTGAAGTGTGTGTGTATGTGTGTGTGTGTGCCAAAATTTTGTTGCTCCGGTTTGCCTCTACTACTAAATATCACTTCATGCTACAATGTGAAATGGAATGAACTCCGTATATATCTATTGTGTGTGTGTGTGTGTGTGTGTGTGTGTATGTTTAGCGTCGGATCACAGCCAAGCTACACTCCGAGTGCACAAATTTCAACTAGGCGCATAGTTCTAAGTAATATTAAGATTCCTCAGATACTCTCATTGTATATGTACTTTCCCATTCTATGCAAACGGCTGCCAAATGCCTAATGAAAATCAGAATAGATAGGTACCGATTTTGACGATGAAATTGTGCAGTATTGTTCTTATACACCCAAGTTTTAGCGGACAGTTACGGTGCCCAGCTGCCCTAGTGGGTTGACCCTGGCTCGCAGTGTCATATGCTCCTTAGATGAAATTCTTCCGCCCACAACGGGAAGGCAGTTTTGCTACTCGAGGCTATATCTATGGCTCCACCGCAACACTTGGTTGTCCGTGAAAGTCGGGTGTATGCAGCAACTGCCTGGCCGGTACTTTTTTAGGGTGCAAAGGCGTGAGTGTTACTTGATAATGATAAAGACAGACCAACGGTGTTCCTACGTCGATGTCTATGCCACATTGCACGTGTCTGGTGGGACAGTCTGACAAGCGATACAGACAGAAGTCGAAGATTTCTAGGGAATCGTGGTCGCGCGCCGTAGTAACTGCTTCACTCGTATCGATTAAGATTTCTGGCTGAGACATGGGTTACCCAGACCACTAAATGATCCTTGATGTGCAATGTTTTTAGATGCAGTTGGTGGTACATATATATATATATATATATATATATATATATATATCACACTTGTCTGAGGACAAACTGTGTGCCAGGGAAATCATGGCACAATAATCTTTATAAAAAGGTGAATGAAACAAGACCGAACGTGGTCACACGAAAACCCTTACATGAGGGTATGAAAACCTACTCGGTTGCTGACCTGGGAACCAGTCAAATCCGTGATTGGAAATAAACCAAGTGATACGACTGTGTTAGTAATGGTGGCACTCGTGTATCTATTCACTTTCTTCGCATATTTGGTTTGACTGCATTCTGCATCTTTACCTTGTTACTGCCCTTCCCCGTCCATGCGAACGGACGGTCCAAAGAAAGCCACAAAAACCGTCACGCGACCATATAGAGTTAGTGATTGTACGACCTCTACCCGTAAGCCCAGAGCGCATATATATATATATATATATAATGCTCAACACAGAGTATATAATCTAACTCTGCGTACATACCGTTTCAAGCATTCCGATCTGATCAAGAATGACAAAAAAGACGCCACTACTGTCTGTTTACGGCTTTGTCCTTCAATATTTCCGACCAACCAGTTGCTAAGTCTATCGAACCCCAACCTGGGAGGCGCGAGACAACTACTCTACCTAATAGCCACGTGCATTTCTTCATGTCTCGCCTCCTCATTATCTGTTGATTTCCAAGGGGTTTCCTCCAGCCCCGAGCGGCTACAGGGAATAGAGCGCGGTGCAGCAGGCAACACCTGGGCATACACAACACATGACCTGACCAACGAAACCTTTTGAGCTGAATTCGATGCCCTAGCAAGTTTATTGCTAATAAACTTCCAAACACAGGACGGCTTACCTCCAGATTACTAACGCGTTCACTCCATCGCACGTAGGCCGAACGATGAAAATCGATAATTGAAAACTGCTAGTCGATGGGTATGTTCTACTTGCAAATTCAAGGTCTCATAACCATAAAGCAGGACTGAACGAACGCTAGCGCAATACACACGACCTTTCAACTTCAGTGAAATGTCACGTCTCCGCCAAAGGTGTTTCAGTTCTGCGTATGTTGCTCGAGCCTTGGGAATGCTGGTGGTTATCTCGTTTTCAAATGGGAATTCGTCGTGTATATAGCAAATGAAGCGTGAACTGAAAAGCTCAGAAGCACTAGACAGCTGTTTCGACCTGGTTAGGTCTCATCAGCAGAGCGAATCCATCGACCCGACTGGGGATCGAACCCGGGACTTCATGGGCAGAACGCAAGCATGTTACCCACTACAGAGCTACGGACATTTTTCACACACCTGACTACAATAATTAATTCACTGTAACGAATTCCTGACGATTTAGTTTCAGAGCCGGAGTAGGTGACACCCAGTCTCGCATCATCCATTTTTCACTTTGAGGGTACAAAGCACATATCGAATGTACCAACAGTCCTTAGCAGTCTATCGTGTGTGCTTTGCGCGTCCTCCGTATCTACCAGCAGACAGACGATGTCATCGGTGTACTCTAAATCACACAGCTTTTGTCCAGCTTGCTTTCCATTATCCACGTCTTAGAAACCATTGTGAAAGTGATGCTCACAATTAAATTGGTGTAAACCTTGATCTGGATGTTGAGGTATTTCGATACACAGCAATAATAATCGACCAAAACAGATCTAATTTTCACTTAAAAAGAATGGTTGGATTATTCGAGTTAGCTTTTACGAGCGCTTGTTTACTTTATATTTCAACCATACATCATATGCCCATTAAAAAGAAATAAGCTTGTACAGTTTTACGAGCTGGCGTAAAATGTTCCCCAAATTTCCTCACTGGGGATATAAAAGTCACACTCTTTTGGCGTCTCTCAAAGAGGGCATAGCAGCTATCCTCAATAATACACGGTGACCAACTGGGTAATAATTCCAAATTATATGTCAAAAATAAACGATGTTTTACAATAGTCCCACGAACTGAAAAGTCCGCTGAAAGTGGTAGCTTGCGGTTGGAAATTCGCTCGATGCAACCTGATGTTACATCCTATAAGACTTGATATTTGCTTTCAATTTGTGGTCCAGACGAACACATCGAAGAACAACCAAACAAACATCTCATGACTTGAGCACGAACAACGGATTCGTAGTGATCTAACATGTCAAACCTGGAGTTTGTGCATATGATGATGATGATGATTTCCCTTAAAGCTTATGATGCGTGAAAAGTCCATTCGGCGCATCATATCCATGACCGATTCCCACATCATTTAGTTGAGGTGTGGAAGTGGGTGTTGGTAAATACTGTCAAACACAATCTGCAGTTTGTTTGTTGATAAGGCGTAACCAGAACGCTGTAGCCTTCTCTCCACATTATGTTTTCTCTCCTGAGTAGCCCCAACAATTTCGTTCATCACCCAGAATTCTACAGTAGGTTTTCGAATTGGTGACCGAGCCATCGCGCGTTCTGCGCAGGGTATTTGTCGAATACAGCCTTTGCGCACTTGGAGTACTCATCCACCGATTTAGATCGCGGGACATCAGACGTCTGAAACTAAGTGAAACATTCACTGATTCGCCGTCACGATTACATTATACACACCTAACTGGCTCAAAGCGATCAGATCGCCAGATTGTTACGTAGCTTAGTCGTCTGGTTCCGCATATTCATCTCACCGAGGTACTAAACTTCAAGGTCAAATGACTTCCTTCAGCCAACCGATAAATAGGGCCCAAACACTCAAGCATTGAAATGCGATCATCTAACCGGTTGCGCTTTACACAGTGAGTAAAAATCTGGCTAACGTAGAACGAGGAGAAGTTTGCCAGTCAAATAATGCAGTAGAAGCTGCTCATTGATGCTACTTTGTACATGGAACTTCAACGTCGGTTATAATCAGAACGGCCAAGTACATTGGTTAACGCTTTAAGGGTACGGACAGCGTTGATGACCGCTAATCTGCCGACTGAGCCTGCGGTACAACGGACTCCATGAACACTTTCCCTGTTATTCAGACCATTGAACGTCACTCGACCGAAAATTCAAATATATTAATTCTTGATGACCGTCGCCAAATGTGGGTTCAGCATGATGAAGCGCGGAACCATCATACCTTAGGAGTTTAATACTTTCTGAAGGAAGAATCCGGAAATCACTAGAGCAGACGCTGTGAACCAGTAAAAAGGATACCAAAATCATCTTATATCAATCCTATAAAAGTTTTCCTAATAATTTTACTGAAAAGAAAATGATCACTGCAATAAGCCTGAAACATTGAAAATAGCTAAGTTTCAGTCTAACCAAGGAGTGTGTAAGCATAACCGGTGAAATAGTTTTTCAGATTTTGCATTATTGTGTAAAACCGATGCTTCTTTGAAAAAATGACGGATTTTGATGATAGATTTTCCTAACTACCTGTGCCTTATCGTTTTTTAACCAGTTATTGCAAACCGTATGCTCTCCGGTTTGAGAGTGGTTTAGTGCAGTTTGTATAAGCATTAACCATGCATTTTCGTGCGTCAGTTCTGGTCGCTATCTTTTTGCCTACCTGTTTGCTTGAAAGCGTAGCAGAAAGATTGGTAAGTAAAATAGAGTAAAAGCGAAAATGGAACATTCCAGTTGGCTAAGATTGCAAAGAAACTGAGAAGATGCAGGAGCGTCACTGCTTACCGCACTCAGCCATATCACTCGGTGTCACCAACCACCATTTACGAGCATCTTGAGGTCCCCATCCAAGGAGCCTAACGTAACCTTTATTGTCGAGTCTCCTGGTCAGAGTTTTCATACCCTCCGCTTTTTGCTTTTTTCCACCGTCTACCTGTCTCGACAAACGTCGCTCGTCATGGCAATCTATTCGATAGCATGCGAAACACGCTTCAACCTACATAATTTATTTCATTTTAAAAGTTCTATTGTCTTGTCATCACAGCGTTTTTTCCCTTGTATATTATCTTTTTTCTAGCTGTGTTCGCTTATGGCCGTTGGCTGCCTCAACTTCTCCAACCAAGACGTACTATGAGTTGGCGTTGTCCACTATTGCTGGATTAAAAATGCGCAGTGTCGCATTCAGTCACTGTGGACGACTGGTTGCGGTTACGTGAGTTGTTCGGTTCATCGTAAAGTTTTTGTAAAGATTTCCCTACAGTAACACTGAGTCATGTGACACGCTGATGGAGCGCGTGATTTCCATAGTCGAGTCAGTTATGCGTGTTTTAATTAGGGCAAATAAGCGAAGTTGCCCGACCGGAAGTAACGACTTTTCCACTGATTAGCTAGTGGTCACTGTATTCCGATTTATGGGTAGGCGTGATTTGCTGATTAGTCAATCCTTTCTTCCGGACTCATCTAGCTTCTTTCATCACTCTTCTTCTTGGTGTTTCTTTATGACTGTTTAATATCAGTTAGTGTTGGTGGAGTCATTTTGAAAACAGTCTCAGTTAATTAGGATGTTTCACGAGGTTCCTTCTCTCTTCATCGACGACCTTTCATCTCATACTCTCAATCGCGTCCATACTTTTGTCGATGATGGTGTTACCGTACATGCTTTTTCGTTTACAATCGCTTCCGATGGGTTATCTGGAAGGGCTTCACTTAATGCACACGTGAGCACCATTTCTATTTGGGGGAGTTAAAATTGTGGTTGTTTTCAATGTCTCCAAAATCCCTTGTATGTCTGAGTCTCGCAAAGTAATCCTTTAACTTCCAGTTCGCATTTTCACTTATTCTTCTTGCTCCACTTCACAGATCTCCCTGGAGTTCAGTTTTCCTCTTCCATTTACGAGTCCCGTCTTATTGTGGAACTTGCATTGAATGCATTCGGAAATATATCTCCCACCTGTTCCGTCTGGTAGTGTCTTTCATTCTCTCATTTTCTCAATCTTGCCCAGACCATATTTTGTTCCACCATGGAATATTGCAGCAATATCTGGATCGAGGTCCTCTCTTCTTCTTTATTACTTCCGCTAGTGTCCAGCGTAAAGCCGTTCACCTTGCTGCTGATCCGTCCCTGACATCCATTCTTCAACCATTTGCCCGTTGCCTTACGATCACCTTGACTCTCTTCTACTATTCTTACCACGGATTTCTCACTGCGAAGCTCGAGCATTCAATCTCCAATTTTATTTGCTCGTGAGACCTTCCTACAAGCGTTAGCTGACCTCTTTCCAAGTGGCTTTAAAAACTTGTGAACGAGCGATGTTCGTATCCTCTTTCTAAAAACCGCGGACCTGTCGAGCAATTCCTTGCTTTTTTCTCCTCCCTATAACTTCTTAGTATTCTTTTCATTTTTTAATTTTATCGATTATACAATG